GAAGCCAGCTTTAACACTTGCAATGAGTTCCTAGGCCGCTCTGCTTACAATCACCAATCAATAACAATTATACTCTCACATAACGTCATTAACTGCGTCATACATAAAGGTGTTCTAACCTGATTGGTTAAAACACAGATAGACTAGGAACATTTCCACGTGAGGTTCGTGCGTACAATTCTGAACAATATCTAAACATAAACGTCAGACATCCTTTAGACTGATTAGAGCTGACTCCAGACCTGTGAAATGGATCAACAATCAAATAGAACACACACACTTTAAGTATAATCTGTTTCTTATCCAAGGCTGAGTGTACCGTCAGCCGTCTTTATCAAAACTGGTTAAAAACTGGTATAATCTACATTCAGGCAGTTATATTCTTACTACACAAAGTCTATCTTGAATAAAAAGTAGAATCACTTTAAACGATTTAACCGTAAAAATAGCAAAATCACTTTAGACATTTTAGACAGTATTAACTCCTAGAAATAACAATAGAAACAGTTGTTTCCAGTCCTCAGTTCCACTCAAGATCTCCATGACCTCTGACCTAGTTTGCTGGCTCCTGAAAATAGGTATAAAGAGACAGGCAAATGCACTGAACATTCTTATATTAAGCAATGTGTTAACTTATTCATTAATTAAAATCAATTCACAGTTAAATACTAAGAAACAGGATGATGAAAAGGATAAATGTTGGTCCATGATGAGATGGACTGGAAAGCAGAAATCCGAATCCTTCAGTACTAAAATGTGAAAACTGAAAATTCTGTGACCATTAACTCACCTTTACTTGTTCCAAACAAGATTTTATTTAATTTTTTTCTGATGTTGAACAATAATATCCAATAACTTATAATCTCTTTGGTTGTTGAAAACAGTAAATGCTGAATTAAGATTGTTCTTTTGTTTATTGTTTTATTATTTATATTGTCAGACAGCTAAAAAATTTCACTATATGTGTTAAATCAGCTGCGCAAAGCGATTGGCATACAAAAAATCTTGTAAAATTGATAGATATAAAGATTTTACGTTTATCGTGATAAATATCGATATCAACTGATATGTAAAAAATTATTGTGATATTTTTTTTGCCATATCGCCCAGCTCTACTATACAGTAGCGAGAACAACATCAACTGCATTACAAGTTCAAAACAAAAACAACACCTGGTACCGTTTAAACCATTGTACCAGATTTCCTAAGCTAAGAAACAGTAAAAAAAAATGTAGCAATCTAGCACAGGAAGTACATAAGCAGCATAAAACAAGTAATGACTCTCTTGAATTTCATCATGGACAACATGAACTGGTTGGAGGAGAAACAGCGGACCTGTCGATTTATGTAAAAACGCTGGCCTCTGGGGAACAACAGGAGGACCCTACCATGGAAGGAAATCATGCTACTGTCAATGATAATACAGAATGCATATGTGAACATGAGTAAAGAGATAATCTTTCCCCAAATGAAGGACAATCGGATAATGGAATGGAATGAGACCTATCAACAATCGACTTCCCAGCTTTACTGAAAAAGGGAAAAGCTGACCGATAAGCTGAAGGGGACCACTGCTGCATCAACATTACAAATATTAACCTCCAGAGGTGGATAGTAGTCAAGGAAAATGCTGGAAAAGACAAACACTTGAGTAATTGGTTTGCCTCCATATTTGGATCTTGGGGACAATGGTTAATAAAGTTGACATATTTGGAGGTTACCATACTTGTTTTAGCTTAACTTTGTTGCTGTGTTGTGTCATTCATCAGATCAATGCTAGCCAGTGCTGCTGCCACACACATGGTTACTGTGCAAGTACAAGGAACAGTGCAAGCCCACCTCAACAGTGACTATGGCTATGAAAATATGCTTCCAAAATCCTTAGATTGGTCCGTTTATGAGAACGTTACCCCAAACTTGGTTGGATGAATATCAAACCTTTTTTTTTCTTTTGTTTTTGAGTGTGCCGCAGTTCTTGTTTTTATGTTATTCCTGTTTTGTGGAAAAGTTAGGGAGATAGTGTATAACATGTATTTTATTTTCTTTGATTTCAAGCGTACACAGACCTTTAGAATAATGAATAGTGTAGGCAGGTAGTTAGAGGATATTTTGTTTTTTATTTTGGCACTTAGACTCTTTTACACATATATGCCAAAAATTATTCCTATACAATGCAAGTAATCTTATGTTGTTTTCTATTTTCATTTTCTATTTTTCCTCTCTTGTTCTTTGTTATCAGAATGACACGAATGAAAAAAGGGTTTCAAGCAGGTCATTATCTGTGCTACGAGACAGAAGTGCAAACAGAAGGACCTGAAATGATGGTTATTAATCCTATAATCTACAATATTATCTTTTAATAATATATTGGTTATGTTTCTGGGTATGAAATGGACATTTATCGAAGCTGCAGGGTTCACATACTCACAGGGAAAGAGGACTTGAACTGAGTGCTTAATGGAACCAACGATCATCTCAAAGCTGGCAAATGCTGTAAGAATAGGCTCTACTGGTGGCTGAAAAGCCTGCTGCTCGCTCCAACACCAGACAGTACTTAGTAGTACCTCTGGCAACGTGGGAGCAATCATCTTAAGACCAGGAGACAGTATCTTTTACTCCTTTCTAATCAAATAAAGGGGAGATGTTTGGTTCCGCCTCTCCACTGGAGTGCAACATAGGGATGTTGACATTTGGTGAAGACTGTGAAAGGCAACTTTGTGTTGCATTAGTGAGGTTGATTGTACTGATATGTTGGTACCTTGTGCTGCATTCCGGTTGAGGGTTAGGAAAGAGACTTTCTTCTGATATAGTCCCTCTAAAGGCTGATTTATACTTCTGCGTCAAGCCTATGCTTATGCTACGGCGCTGACGCATAGCCCTACGCCGTGGCAATCGCTGACGTGCACCTCTCAAAAAATGTAACTACACATCACATCGACGCGTAGCGCAAGCTCTGTGATTGGTCAGCTTAGTAGCGCTGACGAGTCTGGGCGGGACTGAGCCGCGCAAGCCCAATAGAGCAATTGTTTACAAGTGTGGAGTCCCGTGAGAGAGCTCCAGATAAAAAGTTTTGTTTTGTGTTTACCTCATAGTAAAGTTGTTGCACGTCCGCCGGTTTCTGCTTCAAAAAGAGCAAGTTTGAGTCACTTGTACATTCAGGAAGTGTTCAGGAAAAACAAAGCACCAGCGAAGAAACTCGACACAGAGGAACATTTATACCTCACTGCCCACTAGCGTTTCGGAAGTGGTAATGCCAACAGTGACAGCGCGCAGAAGTATAAATGCACAGCTACGCGTTGAATATTTAGCAGACCAGAATATTTTTTACACAACAATTTACAGTCACTTGTTCAACAGTCTTTGAATAAATCATAAGGTATGAACTCCTATTTTATAAACATACAAGGGCAATTATTGTCTATTTGCTCCGTGCGCTGCTCCAGATAGCCAAACAAGCTACATCATCCTTTACCTTAGGTTCTTCGCAACAAAGTTAGTCCATTTTCAGCTTTTTCTGTCCTTGTGTGAATGAGTAATCCCCTGCTATGTCTTGTAAGTGCCAAATGCAATAAATTTGGGTCATGAAATTCCAAAATTCAGGAAAATACGATAACGTATTTACAAAATGACATTTTTTGTAACTAGTCATTTTTTAAAATCTTTTGTTAGACTTTGCACATTACTTTTCTAAAAAAAATTTACACACACACACACACACACACATATATATATATATATATATATATATATATATATTATTGCAGTTTGTATATATTTGTACATTATTTATTTTACATTTAAAGTGTGAAGGCCGTTTGGACATTGAAAAATAAAATGGAAAAAAGTTTTACTGGGCTATTTGCTTTTTTGATATATTGTTATGATTTTGATGTGGTTATGAAGAAGTAAAATTATGATTTTTGTGATAATAACCTTTGTAATATCTTGTTTTTCATTTTTGACAGGTAGGAAACTTGTGTTGTTTTTCCCACCTTTCGGTTGAACTAAAATGATTCTTGCATACTACATGATTAAGACAAAATTATTTTTTCTCGTGCGTCCTGACATATGCTGGTAACAAACAAAAACTGTCCTCAGTTTGATAGAGCACACAGGGCCTGAGTTATGCACTAAGGCTGGCTTTAAAAAAAAACAAAAAAAAACAAAGCTGTTTGTGTTGAGGTGGTTCATCATAGGACAGACAACATATATAATAATAGTTAGCATTTAACAGCAGTGTTTTTTGTAATTTCAAAGGGTTTTCTTTAAAATGACATTAAGATATTGCATTTATTGTTCTGTATGTGGGTGTGGTGAGACTTTAAATTTAGGTAGGGGGAAATACTTTTTTTTTTGGCATGTTACCTTCTTCCAGTTGGAATAGAATAACTCTTGCATGCATTATTATAGAGAGAAATTTATTTTTCTTGTGTTTACTGACACCTGCTGGAAAGAAATGGAATTTTGATGGAGCACACAAGGCCTGAGTTCCACATTTTTTAACTTCAGTTTATATAAAACAGTATTTTATGAAATTTCAAAGGATTTCTTTTAAAATCATACCAAAGTTTTGTATTTATTCCTATGCATGTGGTTATGGAACACTTTTTAAATCGGAATGCCAAATTCAGGCGGAAATACCCAAAATAGCCCAAAAGCTTAACAGGTTAATTACTGATGAGCTGCTGAAACTCATCCCACACTGAAGCTGCGGTCACACTAGAGTTTGAGCATGCGACATTTTGTTTTATGGTGCTGCGAAAAGGGGCGGGATTCAACAAGATTATTAGACATTAAAAAACGTGAGCGATTGTCCAGAGAGGTCATGTTTTGATCTTCGAGTCAAGTAATGCGATTTCGCAGGTCAGAGTTCACCAAGCTTGAACTCTGCAACGCAGTGAACTGTAAAACTTGACCCACAAACTTTCGTTTACAGTCTGGCGCATTTGCGTGCATATGAATGGAAGTCTATGGGGAGAAAGGTCTAGTGTAACTGTGGCTTAGGTGCAAGTGAATGGTTTCTCTCCAGTGTGGATCCTCATGTGTCGGTTAAGTTGTGATGATTGTATGAAACTCTTCCCACACCGAGTGCATGTGAATGGTTTCTCTCCAGAGTGGATTCTCATGTGTTCTTTAAGAGATGATGAGCGTCTGAAACTCTTCCTACACTGAGTGCAAGTGTATGGTTTCTCTCCAGTGTGGATCCTCATGTGGTGATTAAGGGATGATGATTGGCTGAAACTCTTCCCACAGAGAGTGCATGTGAATGGTTTCTCTCCAGTGTGGATCCTCATGTGTTGTTTAAGAAATAATGAGTGTCTGAAACTCTTCCCACACTGAGTGCATGAGAATGGTTTCTCTCCAGTGTGGATCCTCATGTGTTTATTAAGGTGAGATAAGCAACTGAAACTCTTCCCACACTGTGAGCATGTGGATGGTTTCTCTCCAGCGTGGATCATCATGTGGTAATTAAGGTGTGATGATTGGCTAAAGCTTTTCCCACACTGAGTGCATGTGAATGGTTTCTCTCCAGTGTGGATCCTCATGTGTTGATTAAGGTTTGATGATATGCTGAAACTCTTCCCACACTGAGTGCATATGTATGGTTTCTCTCCAGTGTGGATCCTCATGTGAATCTTAAGATCGCCTTTTCTTCCAAAATTCCTTCCACATTGAGTGCAGGTGAAACGATTTTCGTCTCTTTTTTTCAAAATACCATCAGTCTGTAAATGAGTTTTTTCCTCAATTTTGACATGATGTTCCTCTTCTTTACTCCCCTTATTCTCTTCAATTAGATCTAAAATAAAAAAATAAAAATAAAAAAACAGTTTTCATTAAGTCTTCAAAATCTCATAAAATGCGTAAAGGTGAAAAGACACTGGAAATATTGGCTACACACACTGTAATTTTGATGCACATTAAATGTAAAATAAATCAGATCATATTTTGTTCAGTCCATTAACGTGTGCACATTTAAGCCGATTCAATTCAATTCATCTTCATCTTGTGCTTTTACAATGTAAATTGTGCTGAAGCCACTTAACTTAGAAGTTCTAGTAAATTGAAACTGTGTCAGTCCAGTTTTCAGAGTTTCTCATAAAAGTAATTTTGGTCATATTGATAAGACACAGATTTGAAAGCTGTAAGTGGCCTATTTTTATCCATATATATTCAGAATTACAACAAAATGTTTTTCTAAAATTTGTTAAGCAGACAGGGAATACTTGTTCATTCTGTGCCTGACTGGTAAACACATCGGAAAAAAAAAAAGTTCTGAGGTAACAGTTGAACAAACAGCTGAATATTTGTCTCGCAAACATGAGACATACCTGTACAGCATCTGCATAAAGGCTGAAATGTGCACCTTTCCCCTTGTGTGCTGTTGGGTCATTTTCATCCTTTCTGGGTTGATTTTGTGGATTAATTTGGTCAAAACTTTGTGTTTTAGAAAATTGATTGATATTTGGAAACATCTTATTTTGACAATCTAGCATCTATGCATCTAGCATATTATTTTATAGCTATATTCTACTGTAACATGCTACGTCAGTTAGCAATAAATTATAAATCGACTTTCTTATAAATATACCTAAGATGGCTGGAAGTACACATATAAACCATTTATGGGCGCAGTCGTGTAAATGATCAGTTGAAGCCTTTTAATATTTATTCAGATCTTATTTTCATTCAACAGCAATAGCTGGATGCCTTCATCCATATTAGGGATTTCCTGGAATGTTCTGCTACTTTTGTGAGGCATATATGGAATTTCTGCTCAAGTGTAAATGAAACAGGCATTACATGCATTTAAAGTGCCACAATGCCCACATCAACCTATTTTGAGGAAAACTGAAAAAAAAAAGAAATAATTTTCTTCTTAAGAAATAATTTTTTGTACCTTTTTTGATACAATTGTTGTTATATCAAAAATAGTAGCCTATCGAACATCAATATATAGCAAGGTAATGAAGTCAGAAATTCCAGTATCTGGACAACATTACACCTTAGTTAAAAATTCTGTCCAAAAGAACATGCTTGCAGCTTCGTATCACATCGAATAACAACTCACACTATAAAATAAATTATATTTTCAGATTTGAAGACAATTACATTTTCAAAAAACAAACAGAAACTGCAAATCAGGAGGAGATCGGAGGCTCAAGAGGTATGATATGGCTCATAACAGACTAGTAAATGAGAAGTGGGTTAATTTATCAATGTTTTTTCCTTTTTGATGTTACGAGTTACGCTGGATCTAATCTCACTATATTTGCTAAAAGTGATATTTAATTCATCTTGTTCTCTATATCTAACATAGGGCTGGACAATAATATAATATCAATATATCACAATAGATTTTTTTTCAATAACGGTGATATGATTTTTAAACCCATTTACGATATTTTGTAATATTATACGATATTTTGACCTGAATACAGATATAGAGGAACAAGCTTCCACAAGTAAGAATGCAGACAAAGTAGTTGATGTGGACGTTGTTCGGCTTTTTAAGTTCCGATAAACCTTTTGTTTCGGCGCTCTGCAAACTGCGGGAGAGCGATGCCGACTAGCATCGGAAACACATCAAATAGGTTCATAAAAGTTTAAGTCAACCTGTCGCCTCATAATCCACCTTCCCGATACCAAACACAGATGGCTATGAGGCACAATGTAGGGTTTTGCATGTCTACACTTGAATATACACATATACATTTCTCGCATATAAACATATACTATGTTCAAAACAAGTATGACACTTGCACATATATAAACCTACTGCATGCATACACCCACATACACATGCACAGACATATAAACTCAATCCGATCATAATCTTGATCCTTGGATAAACACCCAAATTAACACACACACACACACACACACACATTTGATTAATAGAAGTATTAAATCTGTTAAATAATGAAAATGTGTTATACAAAATATTAGTTCATATAAATAGACAATATAAAAAAATAGAACTATTTTATGTTAAATCTTTTAACTTAATTAGGTAATTACATACACAAAAATAGTCAGAAAGAACCCTTAAAGGACGTTTAAGATAAAAAGCAACCACAACTTTAAATATACTCAACTCTTTTCCTTTGCAAATATTAATGTAGCCTATACTCTTTTTGATTTGCTCTTTAATTATAATTATTATTCTTTTTCTATTTTTTTTACGATGTGGATTTTGGTATTATTTTGACCAGAAATAATAAACTGCCGAAAACAGTCAAACTACTTGCTCTACAAACAGGTGTGTTCATGACTATACATACAAATAAAAATAATTAAATGAGAAAATATGACTTTGCGACATCAAGCAGCATTAGGCATGGGCCAGTATAAGAATCTGACAGTATGATATCCTAAAATATATTTTCTTCGGAGACACTTTTAAAATATTTTTGAGCGGTAAACATGTCAGGCTAAATAATTGAAATGAATCACAGATTTCTTTACGATTTAAAACAGCCTCTTTGGTCTTTACTGCAGGAGATACTGTTGTCCTAAAAAACAAAACATTAAAAAAAAACTTACATATACTGTAGGAACGGTGCAGCAGGAAATGTTGGCGATTTTAAAACCTTGACTTTTCCAAACTGCGGTAAACCATTAATATAGTTATTGCCCCATGCCTCAGCAGCATAACACTGATATTTAGGATCTAAAAATTAATTCTTTAAAAAAGTCTAAAGCAAAAAGATTCCAATGGCGCCGCCTGCTGGTGCATGAAGAATATTGTGTATATTCTGCGACTGTAAAATATTTTATAACAATTAATTATTTTAGTGTTCATTTCTTTCAGCATGCTCAATATTGGGGGCATCCACATTTTTTGACATACTGTAAACCAGAGTTTCTGCAGCTTTTACAAAGTTAAATGTAAGACTTTATGATATTTTTAAGACCATTATGAATGAAATTTTAGACTCATAAAGGGCTAAAGGCTAAAGAACTTTTCAAATGGCCCAGATGGAAAAGATTTTTATTTGCCCCATCAAAATAAAATTTATTTTTAAAACAAAAAAATGAACAAATGTTTTTAAAGTTTTAAAAACTATAACAAACTAAATCTATGCACAACAATCTGTCCAGGTTGATATCCACAGCAGTAAATACATGGAGCACGTTTAAACAAATGTTATTGTGAGTAAAATAATTAAACCATTATGATAAATAGAGTTAAAAAGACCTTTTTGAATAAAAAGTTGAAAGTTTTATTAAGTTGAATTGTTGGTGATTGAATTGGTTTTGGCCAGATTGGGTAGAAAAACATGAACAAATGAAAATAAAGACTTGTTTAAAAAAGACACAATACAGCACAATATTTCAGTAAATTTAAGACTTTTTAAGGCCTAAAATGTTAAGTCTTTTATGAGAATACTGTAGGTCAAATATCATCAGCTTAGTTAAACCTTTTATTAATTTATTGTTTTTATTTATTTTATAAAGCACCAAGGACGCTTTACAAAAAGCAAAAAAACAAGAAAAGCAATAACGTTAAGAAGGTTAAGAAAATGGGAGACTAATAACACATAAAAGAAAGACAAAAGACATGAGAACAAGTAACGAAAGAAACTCATTCTGTCTTTCAATGAGTGCTTATGTGCATTTAGGATAATTAGGCAGCACACTCAGGGCTGCAAGATGGATTTAGTATTCTTATTATTAAAATATATCTGAATGAGGATCAAATGACTGAGTTGGTCTTTGAGAATGAAAACCAACCTGTTTGTTCCTGCAGATCTTCCTGTTTGACTGTGAATGTTTCTTCAATCTTCACATCTTCACTCTCCTCTTTAATAAACGGCATCTTTATAACAGTGTGGAGATCAGTCGCTTCAGCAGGAGTTTTTCTCTGTGTTTGGACACTTTATCCTGTTTAAAATGAACAAAACAATAAAAATGTCCTGTTTAAAATAAATAAACAATGAACAGAAACAAAATAACTTCTCTTCAACACTTGCTTCAACAGTTTCTTTTAATTATCAAAAAGAAATCAGGTAAAACATTTCTTTAAAAAAATAGAGGTAAAATAGGTTTGATATTCGCACATTCGGACTTTCACCTTAATGATATAATTTCATTAAAGTATTATTTGCAAACTCTAAATAGCGAAATCATAATAGCAGCCAATGACTATCAAAGTACAACATTGTTCTCAGTCAAATAAACAGTGTTAATGTTGTTTATAAGTCACACTTGTATGCTAATTCCGATCAAATATTCAAAGTAACATGGTAAACAATATATAGACTGCTAAATGAACGAATGTGTGAATATAAAACCAACTTTACCTCTTATCAGAAAAGTTTGGGAAACCCTGCTTTAAAACACCTATTACACTCTTTTCGTTTTCAAACAATAGCCCTCGGCTACTGATAATAAAATAGTACTACGTTGTATAAAGGGTTTAAACATTATTGTCAAAAGCAGGTACATAATTTAGCATCGGATTAAAAAAATCTGAAACTTTAATTAAATCGGGTTATATCCGTAAACGTTTAAAAACACAAACCTTTCCCCAGTTGAATCACAGCGCTGAAGCGGCGCCGCCTGATGACGTCACACGTCACGACAAAATAAAAGTCTTTTTAAACCTTTTTTGCCACTTACTGTTGCAGTCATGACTTGATATATTTCTCCTTCGTTTCCACTTTCTCACAGACGCACAAATATTCAGTATTTGGAGTTGATCAAAACCTTTACTCTAAACATTTTAAGACAATTAAAACAAACTTTTAATCCACTAAGACTGTTTAAAGCAGAAATCTCAACATTCTAAAAGGTATAACAAATAATCTAATGAGTGTTTGGAGCTGAAACTTTACAGAAAAGGAGGTAAAATAGGTGTCCTTCATGTAAAAAGTATTCATTACTACTACACGTTTTAGTTCTTTTAACTAGTCATGACTTATATATAGTTTTTCTCTGCGTTTGGACACTTTATCCTGTTAAAAATTAACAAAGCAATAAAAATGTAAAATGAATAAAACAATAAACAGAAAGAAAATAACTTCTCTTCTTATATGAGAGTAATTAACAAAAAGAAATCAGAAAAGTCTGAGCAAGAAACTATAGCCACAAATTAGCTGATTAAAACTAGTAACACGACTACATTTCTTATATAAAGTGATGTAAACTTAGAATGGAATGACATTATACTGTTTAATAAATTAAAGCTTCAGTAAGACACTTATTACACACACGTTGTTCAATAGTCCTCATTACTGTGAGTAAAATACTTTGTTGTATAAAGGGTTAAAATAATATTGTCAACAGCAGGTTCATAGTTTAGTATCAGATGAAAAACCTAAAACTTTAATTAATCGGTTTCTTCTTCTTTTTCTTTGGGTTTTACTGGCGGTTGGCAACCAGACTTGTAGGTGCATTACCGCCTCCGACTGGAATGGTTAAACAATAACTGAAGTGTAAAAATAGAGGGGAGGGGGAGGAAAGAGGGAGGAAATGTAAAATAAAATAAATGAATAAATAAAAAATGTGGGGTGGAGTGGGCTAACAATTAATTCCTTAGATTATATTATCTTTATATTCTTTTCTCTAAATGGGTTTCTTAAACAAATTTAATTATATCGTCATATACCTCACTAGATTTATTCCCTAATAAACCAGCCAATGTGAAATCCTGAAGTTTGCTCTTTTTAACTGATTGAGTTGGAAGAAAACATGTCATATTGTTTCTTGTTGATTACAGTGTATACATTGTCCAGTTGGGTTTTTCCCTATTTTATATAAAATATGGTTGAGTCCAGTATGACCTATTCTCATCTGAGTTATAATCGTACTTCCCTATGATTTCTGTTCTCCCTCCTTCCAGCAACGACTTGTTTATGTATATTTTATAGATGTCTGCCTGTTTCATTGTTATCCCAGTATAATTGCCATACTGATTGTTCTTAATTTGATTTGAGCTTCTGCTTTACTCAATGGGACTTCTAGATCTACTTCACTAATTCTGAGAGCTTGTTTGGCCAGAATGTCCGCCTTTTCAATGCCTTCCACACCTACGTGGGCAGGAACCCAAATGAATTATACAAATTTGCCCATCATTTTAACATAATATGTCTTACAGAGTATGTGAACTCTATTAATTACTGCAAAACATCAGAATGTTATTTCGCATTACGTCCATATAGGAGTGATTCAATCTTTTAACACTTAGTCTTAGTGGATTATATAAATTAAACAAAAATGTGTTAATGTTTGGAGTAAAAGTTTTGATCAACTTCAAATACTGAAAGTCTTTGTATGTGAGAGAGATAGCAGATGTTGTGTGAGGTGGAAAATGAAGGAGAAATGTATTATGTCATGACTGCAACAGTGAGTGGCAAAAAATACTGAAAAAAAAAAAAAGACTTTGCCAACAGATTAAAAACAAATCTTGATTCTATTATTTCTGAAACTCAGTCTGGGTTTATAAAAGGCCGCCATGTTTCTAATAACATAACATTAGTTTTGGATTTGCTCGATTATGCTGATTCTATTCATTCAGATGATCTCATTCTTTTTCTTGATTTTTATAAAGCCTTTGATACGGTTGACCACCAGTTTCTGTTTTTAAGCATTGAGGTTATTTGGATTTGGGGAAACTTTTGTTAACACTATGGCTTTGTTTTATAAAGGAATCAATAGTTCAGTGATTGTTCATTTTAATACTTCTAATGGATTTGATATTTTGTGTGGAATTAGGCAAAGCTGCCCAATCTCTTCCTTTTTATTTTTATTAGTTACAGAGTTTCTATCCTTAAGCATTGTGCAAAATCAAGATTTATAAGAAATTTCTGTTTTTGAAAGGGAGATTAAGATTTCACAATTGGCAGATGACACCACTTTATTTCTAAAAGATGACTCAAACGTATGAAAGGCTTTAAATTTAATTTCTGATATCTCAAGTGTTTCTTGTCTAAAGCTGAATATCTCCAAATGTGAGATAATCCCTGTTCATAATTTGAGTTAGGAATATATAGAAGATATCCTTGTTAAATCCACAATTAAATGGTTATTTATTTATGTTATTAAAAATCTTTTAGTGAGACAGCACTTGAATTTTTTTTTTTGTCTAGGATCAGCAAAACTAAAAATATTCTTAATTCCTGGCTACAACGGGACCTGTCATTATATGGAAGAGGGTCTTTCTCATTTTGTATATCCGACTTTATCTTTATTTGTTGAAAACAAAGTGGCCAAAGAAATTTATACTGTTTTCTTGAAATTTATCTGGAAGAACAAACCTCTTATATTAAAAAAGGAAGTTCTTTCTAATAGTAAAGCAGAGGGGGTGTAAATTTATTAGATTTTTCTGACACAATATACATTTTTAAAATTAATTGGATAAAGAGATGCCTAACCAATCCAACGTCTATTTGTTTTTTTATTCCCAACTACTTTTTTTAACAAAATCTGTAGTCTTTTGTTTCTTCTTAAATTTAATTATCTTCCCTACAAGCTATCTTTAGCTTTGTCTAAATTCCACCAGCAATGTCTGCTTGCTTGGAAGCTTGGTTATGTTCACAATTTTTCTCCCCACCGATTATTCTTATGGAATAACCGAGATATTACAATCAGAAACAAATCATTATTTCCTGCATCATCAAACAACCACTGTTTTCCAACTTCTGCTAATGAATTTAATAAAGTTGTTAGGCAATATCACCTGGTGTAGTTCACCTAGTTAAAAGTCACTGTACATTTAACTGTAAATTTGCTTTTAGAAGGTGTTAGTCTGTTAGAAAAAAAACATAACAATAGCTTTGTGCGTCAAATTTTTCAATTTAAAAGGAAAATTTCTTCTAGAGAAAAGTTTTACTGGAGATCTTTGGTTAAGGATATAGACTGGAATAGAACCTGGCTTTTACCTGGGTAATATTGCATTTCCAATGAGACAAAAGAAATACATTTTAAAATTTTTGCATAAAATCTACCCTGTAAATTTCAGTATTTACAATTTTTTGGACATCAACAGCTTCTGTTCTTTCTGCAAACAAGCAGAGGAGACACTACTATAGTGATGGCCAACCCTGTTCCTGGAGAGCCACCTTCCTGCAGATTTCAGTTGCTGCCAATATCAAACACACCTAAACCAATTAATTAGGACCTGAACACCACATGATAATTACAGGCAGGTGTGTTGGATATGAGATGCAACTGAAATCTGCAGGAATGGCTCTCCAGGAACAGGGTTGACCACCCCTGCACTACTACATATGTTTTTTGATTGTCCAATTTCCAAGCAATTTTGATTACTTCTAAATTCTCATATATCTGCTTCTGCCAATGCTGTGAATTGCTTTAATCTAAAAGACAATTTTTATTATAATAACCCAAAAGCTAATTATCTGGAACGCATCATATATATATTTTTTTTATCTTATATGGCAAATTTTACATTCACAAACAAAAATTCACAAATAATTACCCATCCTTTGTTCATTTTAGAATAGAATTTATTTCCCTCCTAAAATCACTTTATCTTATTAAGAATTTAAAAAAATCTAAGATTCCTGAAATATTATGCAGATGTATTTAAAGAATATTCTCGATTTTAGTTGCTTTCCTTACAGTTATTTGTTAATGTGTCATTCTAATTTCATTCATTTGTTTAATTTAGTAATTTTATTATTATTATTATTATTATTATTATTATAATTAATAATAATACTTTAATTGTATTAATATTTTTTCCTTTCTTTCTAATGGTATTATTTGTATTTGGATGTGGTTTTAGATATTTTTTCTTATGACTATGTAAATTATTGCTCTTTTT